CTCGTTTGCCTTCGAATAAATTTATTCAACAGCAAATTTCCATTCTATTTGGAGGTCTTTACTTTTGTAAAATGTCTTCTAACTTATATATGTATGTGTTTATGTATTCTTTGTTGATTCGATCTTGTCTGAGGATGAAACGAAATGTTTCGAAAAGCTTCACATTAGTCAAATAAATAGGAATTAGAATGAAATTTAAATCTGCTGTTAAACTAATTATTAAGGGTAGATGACTTCAGTACAGTAACTGGTAGCTCGCCAACCGAATTGGTGGCACCAAGATTAAGCCCAGGCATAGTCAACTGATTATCAGAGTGTACTGGATGAGTCGCCTCATGATCACTAGAATTCGAGCTATGGGTCACCTTTGTATGACACGTATTACATACGGTGGTGCGGAAAACAGAAGTGCATCCGGATGAACGGTGTTTATCCGATTGATTATTATTTGTTCCGACTGACGATAGTAATAATTCATAAAAATCATCAAAAGAGAGTATATTTCTGCGATGTTGTAGGTAGCACTTTTTTGCTTCTCCTTTGACTAACAACGATATAGACAAAAATCTGAGATTTCGACCGATGCGAAATTGTTTAAATTTTTCTTCGGTGTCATCTAACCATTGTTCGACACCCTCTGTATCAGAGAAAGGTATGAAATTCTCAAGTATCAAAAACATCAAAACTATCGTTGTCGAAATTCGTATCCAATTGTGAGGATTTTTCGGGATTATTTCCTTCTTTAGGAAGTGATGAATGTGAATCAAACAGAATCTGATTTGATGGATGTGGAACAGTATTCTTTTGCGTTTTGTCAGAAGTCTTAACATCAGTATTATTTTCGGAATTTTCTGTCCGATTTGATAGATCTGTCGAAGGAAGTAAAGCTCTTCTTCCAGCCTTATAGATTGAATCTTTAGATTTTTCCTCCGTGAGCTTTGTTGAAGTTAAAATGATAGTTTCATCTACTGATTTCCGATCTAATGATTCCAATGATGTCGATTTAGTTATTTGGATCGTCTGACCTAAGTGCGACATCTGTCAAGTATATATATATATATATATATATATATATATA